GTAAACCACTTTTCATAACAATGAAAACATAAAGCAGAGTGTAACAGTTTTACAGTGGCAGAAAAACATTACTTTTTCATGTAGTGTAGTGTTCCAAGAAACAATTTTTATCCTTTGTAAACAACAAAAGTACTTTGCACTTCTGGCAGGTCGTTTTTTAAAGCAGCTCTGCTTGTACAAGTGTCTCCATGGCCGAGCACCAAAGTCCATCTGTGACATGTTAGTGTCATATGAACCATCTCACACTCTGAGGAGCTCAGGGACCGACCTCCTGCTGGTGCCCAGAGTCACGACTAAACAAGGGGAGTCAGAGTTTCAGGTTCATGCAGCTAAAACCTGGAACAGTCTGAACATGTGAGACAGACTCTTCTGTGACGCTGTTTAAATCCAGGCTCAAAACATTTCTGTTTAACTGTGCATATAACTGAAAGGTTTTCATTCCGCACTCTTCTCTCCAATTTATGTCTCTCTTTTTAAATTTTAATCTTCATGATTATTTATGTTTTGATTTGTTTTTATTATGATTTTAATGTTTTTCTTATTCTGTAAAGCACTTTGAATTACTTTGTGTACGACCTGTGCTATACAAATAAACTTGCCTTGCCTTGTGTGTAGTCATTCTTGCACAGTCTGCATCGTCCACGTTTATCAGCATGGATGGGAAAAAAGGCTCCTGAGTAAAAAAAGCTCATAAAATATGGATTTAGAGTAAGTAGGTAATTGGCATTTAGCTGTTGCAAATCTGCAACGCCTGCCTGGAGAGGGTTAAGGTTAGTATATTGAGTTGTTACAAAGCTGATTCATTTTAATACATTCTTTGTTTATTATGAATTAAAGTTAAGATCATTATATTTAAAATTTTGCTAAAATTGTATAATTCTTTTCCCAGTTCCCATTTTTCTGGTGATTATTTGGCAAATCAAATATAAAAAAACCCCCACCTAACCCTAATATTTTAAGTATCAGAAAAATGTGTTTCTTGTGCAATTTGTGTTTAACTTTTTGACAGAATTCTCCCTAATGTGAAGTATTTGATGTAGAACTCTCTAAAAACCAGTGCTAGTATTTTGTTACTTAAGTAAAAGTACAGAAACCGGAGCAGAAAAATACTCAAGCAAAAATATCACATGAAAAAGTATTAAAGTACCTGTTTAAAATGTACTTAAAGAGTAAAAAGTAAAAATCTTGTGATCTTATAAGGCTGTGTTGGTAATCTGTTGGTTTTATTTATATATTTTTGTTTGCTCAAATTATGAACTAGATAAAAATAAGCCCTTAGCCTTTTCAGCAGGTTTCAAACAATGATAAAAAAATACTTTTACTTTACAATCCAGTTCAAAAGTGTAGTGGAGTAGAAAGTACAGATACCTGCTCTCAAATATAGTGAAGTAAAAGTAAAAAGTAAAGTACAGATACCTGCCACCACTGCTAAAAACTAAATTTTCTGTAATTTTCAGCATATTTTTCAACATTTTCAACCTCCAAATTAAGACAAAATTAGAGAATCGTCAAATCTTATTATACGAACTTTGCTAATTTAAGCGTAGGTTTCGTGAAGTGTGGTTCATTTCTATATTATTTTCAAAGAATGACCCAGAGAAGAGATATTTTCAACAGTTTCTCTTTATTTACAAACTTCAAAAAAGGGTCTAAAAGTAAAATCGGAGACATCATCCATTGACACGATAAGATAAGACAAGACAAGTTTTTTTTTAATTCTTTCCTTAGAGACAGCAGCAGCAGCAGCAGCAGCAGCAGCAGCAGCAGCAGCAGCAGCAGCAGCAGCTCTCCTCACATTTGGATTCGGACAAAACAAGGCTCGTAGATAAAAAATAAATAAATTCAAGTATTGAGCCTTCCCCGCTAGCACAAGAACGTTTGGTCGATATCCAAGGCCGTCGTAAAGGATGATGTACACAAATATGGATATGGAAAACAAAGAAAAGTACGCGCTCACGAGGCAGAGCGCGTACTGTCACATTAGAAATGATCTCGAGTGGCATTGATTTCTGCTTTCTTGAAGTGCATATGACAGGGTAGTGTACTTAAAAGTGCACTGCGCGGCTTTTCTGGTTGAGGGTCCGCCGCCTGCTCGTCTCCACGGCTTTCTCTGGAATGTTCCACGGTATGACTTTAAACATTCACCTAGCGTTTGTTCATTACGGGTGTTTGTGTTGCTCAAAATACAATAATTCCTCCACAGATCTGAACTGTAACGCCGTAACCTGCTTCTCTCCCTCATGATAAATACATTTAATCTTTACTGTGGAACATTCTAGACCGAGCAACAGCATCTCCATGGTAACAAGCAAGTGACGGGCCATCCACTAAAAAATACTAAGCATCACTGATAAAGATTTGACTTGAAATTGTACCTAGTTTTTAAAAATTGTGGTGAAGTTTAACATTTTACTTTGTCGTTTGCAGATGTGACATAGAGGTATTTCCAGTTCTGTTACCTAGCAACGATTAATAATAATAGTAATATTAAGGGCCAAAACAGGTCTCACACTGAGCTGAAGCTGGACCGGGTGAAGTCTGAGCGAGGCAGTAGAGAGATCTAGAAATCAGGCACTACTTTTAAATCTTCACAAACTGATATAAAACGAAAACCTGTCATATGCACTTTAAAGCTGCACTGTGTAACTTTTCTGGTGGAGAGTCCGTCAAATGCTTTTCTCCAATTCTAATTCCAATTTAAAATGTTTCACAGCCTGGAATTAAAACCTTTCTATCTTCACGAAGACCGAACCAGACCAAGTTACAGGTCAGATCTGCGGAGAGGCGACCCCGCTCACAGTCACAATTCCTGTTTTTCTTGGTATTTTTGAAGCTATAAAACCACCTGTAATTCGATAAATGTAAAGCGGAGCTGTTTAACGTCACACCGCGGGACATTCCAGGCAGAGCGATGACATCTCCATGGAAACAAACAACCGAAAAAGTTACATAGTGCACCTTTAACGCATGCAACAAAACGACCAGCTGGACTCCAAGATGGACTAAAGACATTCAGAGATCCAAACTTCGTCTGATCCAAACTTCGTCTGATCAAACTCGATTATTTAGACCGTGTTGCTACTAAGGACCAGAGACGATATAAAAGTCCATTTGATTAACCAATTTACCTATGACACAAAAAACACGGGCCCACACACCTTTCTGCGTGGCCCAAAGGAAATATTCTATAGTTTCTGTCAAAATTTTTTCATTCTTTAAAGGTGTACCGTGTAAATTTTCAGGGTTAGGATCCGTCGACTTCTTGTTTACCTGGAATTTTCTACAGCACGGCATTTAACGAATACATTCCCAAAAAAATATATAACAAGCAGGAACGCTACAAGGCCAGGTTACAGGTCAGATCTGTGGAGAAGCGACTTCACTCACAATTAAATGGATGTTTTCATGGTATTTTTGAGCAATTAAAATACCTGTAACATTATTTCGACACATTTTATGCCTTAACGTTGAACATTCCCAGGCGACAGTAAAGTGGCGAACCCTCCTGAATAGCTGCACAGTGCACCTTTAAAGCTACCATCTGTAATCTGATTGGCCAACCCAGCTTTTTTACATGAACGCGTAAAAAGTTGAGGTGAGGGGGGGAGGCACAGGATTCACATCTGCCATCTACTGGTGGAAAAAAAAACAAAAAAAAAACGTCACAGATGGTAGCTTTAAAATGTAAAATAAGGCAAATACTGTAATATTTTTAAGCCAATTGTTAACGAAATAACAAAAAAACAGAACAAAATACTAAACATGACTTCATATCGCTGCTGATTGTGCATGAAACAAAAACTTGCAACTCAAATCATGTCAATGTGGTCGTCCCGAACGGGGTGAACTCTGTGGCTTTTCAGATTTTGCGACGTGAACAAAACATACAAAAATAAAGTAAAATATGAAGAATACACGCGATTTCTTTCTGACAGAATGCTCCCAAATATATGTTTTAATTTGCCTGTAGCTGAATTTTTAAAACAGTACTTTTGCAGTGTTTGATTGGTCCTCATTTTTTCAGCATTTTTGAGTCAGAGTAGATTGTCACATGAAAATACGAGTCGTAACAACAAGTAACAAAACGACAAAAAAAAAAAAAAAAAACATCAATCAGACCCAAAATAATTGTACAAAAATACAAAATAATAATGAATAAATACAAACTGTTATAAATAAATTCAAATTTGGTAAATCCAAAAAAAAACATGTAAAAAGAGGAAAGTAAATTAAAACAGCTGGTTATGGACAAACGACGTGTGATGGAAGATGGATCAACTTTTTGACAACTACTGCCATTTTGGAATTTTTTTCCACAATTTTTTAAACAAATGATCGAACATTAGACTTAATTATGTTTCTAAAGAGTGGTTTGGTACAGGCTAAAATATAATTAAGTAGTATAATCTGGAAAATGCCCAAATAATCAGTAACAACGACCTTACTGAGGAGCAGTATTACAAGATTAGATAAAAAAATACTGCACTTCTTGATAATTTATGTCTTATTACTTCAACTATCCGAATATCAGACTGCAAAATTGGTATCATTATTATTATTTTTTTTAAATTTACAGGTCTTATATTAAGCAAAACTGACTCTTGTGAGCTTTAAGTCGTGTTATAATGCTCATCAAACCTCATCAAAAACAGACCTGGAGTTGTGTTTTGTTTCATTCAGAAATATTTGAGTTATGCTTTATGCTCTGGGCCACTTTGTGATGTCATGAAGTGGTAGTTGTTCACAGCAGAGCACACTGATATGCAAAACGCAAACAAAACGCGACTCCAGGTATGTTTTTTTGGTGAGGAAACATTATAACAGTTGAAAAAAACAGCCCTGGGTCCTTTAATAGGTGATATTTTTAACCCAATTTACCTACACAAACTTTTTATCTCTTTAACTTTTTAACAAATTCTTTTTAGCGTCTTGTATTGCACCACTCTTTGGAAAACTCGAGACTTAAATGCCGTTACAGTGTCCATTACTGTACAGTGGAAGATTTTGTGCTTCTCATTCTCACTTTTCACCTCGATGATTTTGGACAAAGCCAAGATAAGTTTGGTTCACGATGATGTCACGGCACAAAATGAGACGAGCACGTAAAGAAAAACGTCGGAGAGCGAAATTTATCTCAAGACGATTTGAAAATATCTGAAGAATATTTACGTAAGTTTGATGGAGTCTTTTTGGATACTTTTTCCATGTTATATATATATATACATTTTAGTTTGTTTGTGATCAGAAACGCCTGGACTTTTATCAGAGCAGTCATGTGTGATGTCATGTAGTACTTGAAATAGCAGAGGCCAGTGAAAAAAGTGTATTTAGTGGTTTAGTTCCACTTTAATACAATTTTAAAATGTATATGAAACTGTAAACGTTTGAAAAATCTGTATTTCAACTCTTTTTGTTTTGGTTATTACAACAACATTTAAACATTTAATTTGACACTGCTCCCCCTAGTGGACACTTAACGGCATTACAATTCATCTTAAAGTTTCTGCCTAATATTGCTAGTTATTACTCTAAAATATTGCCAAAATATCTGATGATTTTAGTCCAAAAACAACTCCATCAAATCCAACTTTTCTAATCCATTTTGTCACTTCCATCGGCGAATCTTTATAGAAAAAACACATTTACAAACACGGTAAAGACACAAGCCTAAAAACCTACGGGACATCACCTTCTCCACCGCCTTCCACTTAAAATACAGACATTATATAGGCTTGAAGTGAGTTTTGCATGGTTTTCCTCGAGGCTACAGTAAGACTGCCAGTAGTGAGATGCGTTCCTCTCACGTTTCACATTCAAAAAGAGATGGAGGCAGTTAAAAGGCATCTTCTGTTGGTAAAGTGTTTCGTTTTCTTAATTAAATGCCGCTACAAACAGTAATTTTTCCTCATTTCCTGATTTTTTTTTTTCTTTTTCAGGCATTGGCTCACATAAATATTGATGTAAAAAAAAAGAAAAATCAGATCTCTCTTCTTTTGCTGCCTAAACACCGGCCTCCCTCAGACCAAAATGAAAATCTGACTTATTATTTTATTATCAAGCAAAAAATGGAAGGGCATCTGGTATAATAAGTTTAGATCAAATTAATATTCAATCTGAGAATCACGTTTTTATCACTTTATCTGAAAAAAGGCCCTGTTCCCGTTGTATTTGAGCAAAACTCCAGTACAGATAAATCGTAAAAGCAGCAGTTGTGGTCAAAATAAGTCTGCTGCGTGCTGTCCGATAGTCAAGAAGTGCACATTAGCATGCTAGTTGTACTGTCACGTCTAAACTCTGGTCTCTGAAAGTTGTGAAAAGCGCTCACGGTCAGTAACCAGGATGCTCGGAATGCAAAAGGCAAGTAAAAGTTAACTTTGGACCACTGCAAACCTTTAAAAATTACCTTTTTTTTTTTTTTAAGACAGTAAAAATCAGGTACAGCGCCTTAAATTTTTGACTTTGGAAGAAGAAAATCAAAATCAATCGATGCCACAAGGTTGAATATTACACAATTACATGGGACAATCTGAAATTTTAAGAGAAAGACAGATTTCAATGGTCTGAAAGAGGCCCAAGATTCCACACAAGGCCTGGTTTAAAGGCATTTAGCGTTACATTCTCGTTGCTAAAGTTTAAGGTTTTTCTGCGACTGTTTTAAAACGAAGCCTCAAAAATTATCCCATTTTTTTTTTGTTTGTTTGTTTTTTTCCGAGGTCATACAATACCCATGTCCTGGCAGTGAATATTTTCAATCCGTTCAAAATGTTTTCTCAGTAGCAAGAATCAACGACTGACGAAACAATATTTAGAACAAGATGTTGCTACCAGCTAATGCCAAGTCTGTAAGCGGAAAAAGTCTTTAGCAAAGCAGAAACTACGCGCTTCTATGCAGTACAACTAGTGGCCAGACGGGGTCACTGCAGGCTCAACCCACTCAGCAGTTTCCAAAGAGTCCAGTGATTTCGAAGCGGAAGCTCACAGTCCCAAAAAAAAAAACAAGCTCGGAAACTCAACTTGTCACTATAAATTAGCCGTTTCAGCACAGCAAGTAGCATTTTTAGCTTCCCTAGTGGCCCGGCGACGCAGCCAGGATGTACCCCGGTGAATAAATCAAGCAAACATTCAAGCAAACGTGTCCAGTCCGTTAATTTTCTTTCACTTCAATCACGTCGTCGTCGTTGTCCGAGCTGCTGGCGCTGCTGATGTTGGCGCCGTTGACGAGCACGGACCCGCGCTTGTTTGACTCGGCGCTGGTCGGGAACTTGGAGAGAAAGCTGGCGCCGGCAGGACCGGGCGTGGCAGCCGGGCCGAGCAAATCTCCGTTGAGCATCGATTTGGAGTAAAGATTAGCCAAGGACTGCGTGTACGCCATGGGGAAACCCGGAGGCAGCATCCCGGAGAGGCTCGCCACGTTCGGGTTTAGCATGTAGGGAGGAATGCCGCTCGAATTGGGTTTCACGGAGGAAAACGAAGTCGAAACGGACGTGGTAGGTGTTGTCGTGGAAATATCCGGGTACATGTATCCGGATTCGCCCAGCTGAGACGCTTGGAAATACGGGGAATTCATGTAAAGCGAGCGGCTGAGAGCGGCGGGATTCAAGGCGATGTGCGGGAGGGAGTACGCGCTGTTGAACGGGTAGCTCTGCGACGCCAGCGCGGCGGTGGCGGAGGAGTGAGGCTGGCCCAGGCTCGGCTGCTTGCTGGGGCGTTGTTCCTCGGACACGGGCGAGGAGGATTTGCGTTTGGAGCCGATGCGCAGATCTTGGGGAGCGGCAGAAGAGGCGGAGGCGAAAGTAACGTCGGCCATGTTGGGGAGGGCGGTGCCGTTGAGCTGAGGAGGCTGAGGTTTCTGTTCGGAGGTTCGGGTGTAGCGCTGGAGCTCGTCGATGATCTCGGGGCTGTCCGGAGAGATGGGGCGGGGCAAAGACGGTAACTTCCTGTCGGGCGACACGCAGCCGTTGCTCCCGGTGGAGGAGAGGTCTTGAGGTTTAGGCTGGGAGTCTGGAAAACAGCAAAGATCAATGGTTAATCTTAATCTTAAAGGTGCATTGCGTAACTTTTCTGGTGGAGGGTTCGTCAAATGTTTTTCTCCTCGATTTTCGCTCAGATCAATCATTAGTGGAGGTTACAGGCTATGAGGAAAAGGTGAGTTTTGAGCTGTTTTTGTAAGTGTAGTTAGTCTTTCATTTATAAGCAGTGGTTTGAAGATGATTAATTTAAATTTGTATAATGTAAAAGCATGTTCAGAGCACGATCACTGCAATAAAGCTTAAGATATATCAATCAGAAAATCACCTAAAAGTACTGAAACATTTATTCGAACAGTAATGCATAGAAAACAAAAAAGCATAGATATAATTCAAAAATTAAACAACAAAAAATGTAACAATGAACAAATAAAAATAAATAAAATAAAAACAAAACATTATAAACATAAATAAATAAAATACATAACAATAAACAGAAATAAAGGTCACGCAGATTTCACTTGTGTCCGAAAAGAAGTGGAAGGAGATAATTTTATTTTTCTAATACTATTACAAAATTCTTAAAATAAACTACCTCTAGACTAGAATTAAACCGTCTCTGAACTAGTAAGTAGATAATAAATCTGAAAACAAGATGAATAAGCTTGAAGAATAAGCATAAAAATAAATGTCATGCAGATTTCACTTGTGTCCGAAAAGTAGTGGGAGGAGATAATTTACTTGACAAGGTGGATATCAAAGCAGAACAAGTTACAGGTCAGATCTGTGGAGAGGCGTCCCCGCTCACAGTCAGAACACCTGTTTTTCTAGGTATTTTTGTGCTATAAAACCACCTGTAATTGGATAAATGTAAGGTAGAGCTGTTTAATGTCACACTGCGGAACATTCCAGGCAGAGCAATGACGTATCCATAGAAAAAAAAATCAAGTGATGGAAGGTTACATAGTGCACCTTTAACTTTTTGACAATGTAAACCTTTAGGGAAACAATGTTCTAAAAATTTGTGATATATTTATTAGGAGAATCAACTCTGACACTTAATATTGCTGCTTCATATTAGTTTTTTTTATTTTAGTTTTATTAATTTAATTTAGAGTAAATACCACATTTTTAGAGACATGCTGATTTCATCTAAAAATCTGAGTTATCCTTCAATTCATGGGTTTAAGAGTGGTGACAAATTAGGACAGTTCTCGTAACAATTTAAATGAATAACGTTTATTATTTCTGTATTAAACATTATAAGTATGTACCTTTGGATGGCGCTGTTGTGTTTTCCTCCAGCGCTTTTGCTTTGTTTGCTGCTCTTATGGCAAAGATTCTCCCATCTGAGGTCCGAATGTAAGTCCCTGAAAGAAAAAAAAGAAAGATACAGCATTTAAAATTTGCATCAAAGCGTTTTTACTAATTATAATGCTGATTTACAATTGAAAAAGTATGACAAATCTTTTTTTTAAATGTCCGTATAGTTTTACCTTTGGTTCCCCTGATGATGTGGATACTTTCTCCAGCTGTGATTCGGGCCTGAACATCTGCAGAGCTGTTGGTGCCTGGAATCACCATGTCTGAAACAGAAACACACAAAAGAAATGAAACATCAAGTTATGTTTGAATGTTGAATGTATGTTTTGAAATAAGTGCACTGAATTTACTTTAAAGAGCCTGTCCACGTATCAGTACAGATATACTGTCTAAGCAGCTCTTGAGCTCAAAATAAAACCACAATGTTCTGACTCCATTTAATTATAAAGCATTTTACTGTCTGATAATCATGAAGTGCAAGCTAATTGTCACTGAAAGTTGTGGAACATATTTATAAACTTAAGATGGATTACTTCTGTTTTTCTCATTTTTAACACTGTAACAAACAGGTACAGCGCTTTATTTTTTATTCTCAGGAGAATATTTGGATCTTAAGAACAACTCTTACCAGTCGTTGTGACGATCTTCTGCACAACCACCCCGGCCTTCTGCAGACAGTTGACAGGAAACCCTCCTAGTTTGGAGTCAGAGGAGGCGGAGTCTGAGTTGGGGGCGGCGGCTGTGGCCTGGCGAGGCATCGTGGGATCTGTAGTTGACTTAACCGGACGCACGCTGGCCATAGGTTTGTCCTCAACACGAGCAGGAGGCCGCCTGGAGATACAAGAACGTACGATTGATTAAAACAGAAGAGCAAATATGATCTAGTTTATTCAAAGGTGCAGTACGGACTTCATCATGGAAACAGAAAGTTAAAACCATGCTTTGTGCTTTATGAGTAACTGTATTCGGTTACAGTTACTGTTTCAGGGAGTGGTAATTGGATTACAGTTACTTTGTTGAAATAAATGGATTACACTGTGGTATTTTCCTGTTTTCACATTTTGTGCTATATCCCTTTTTTTTCCTTTTTTCTGTAATTCCACTCATTGCCGAACACTAAACCAGGTCTAAACCAGTTCTAATACCAGGTCTAAAACCAGGTCTAAACTAGGAATAAACCAGGACTAAAACCAGGACTAAAACCAGGTCTAAACTAGGAATAAACCAGTAAAACCAGGTCTAAAACCAAGTCTAATCTAGGTCCAAACCAGGTCTAAACCAGGTCTAAAACCAGGTCTAAACCAGGTCTAAACCAGCACTAAACCAGGTCTAAACTATGTCTCAAACAGGATTTAACAGGACTAAACCAGGCTGCGTAGACCGTGCCTCCTCCTCTTCTATCAATACTATTTTTTATTTTGTTAAGTAAAGACTGGGCTTTTTATTTTCTTTTAGCAAACAAAACATCTTATGTTATGATATCCTCATCTTTGCTTCTCTTCAGCAAATCAAATAATCCAAAGTATTCAGATTACATTACTCCCTTTAAGTAATTTAATGGATTACATTACAAACTACATTTTGGGGTCTGTAATCTGTAACCTGTAGGGGATTACATTTTAAAAGTCACCTTCCCAACACTGGCTATACCGTGGAATATTATAGTCAGAGAGTCAGGTTTGTGGAGATGCAAGCCTGCTCAGAGTAACGATGCATGTTTTTTTACTTACATATTGTGGCTTTAAACAAATTTAATATAACCATCACCATTTTTTATCTAACTAAACTAACTATTTCACTAAATCTAACCACTCTAATTAAAAAAATAAATCAACAAATCTGATTTTAAGTCTGTTCACACATAGATCCAGGTTTCAGACTGACCAGTTCCTCTGGCTGAAGGCGGGTATGTTGGTGAGACTCTGGTCACTGGCGGGGTAGTAGTGAGCGTACGAGGGCCTGGTGTACGGGACAGAGGCACGTTTCTCTTCCTCGTAGCCTTTCTTCGCCTCCTTCTTCTCTGCAGAGCTCAGCTTCATCTCACGCCGGTCCATCAGCAAAGACTCGTGAGCGAACGGTTGCTACAATTTTTAAAAAAGAGGCAGAAGTTTAACATTTATACATTTAAGATTTTTTCATTTTAGGTTGTACGGACTTTTTATGAAGAGTCCAATCCATTCCCAGGTAAAGCATGTGGTTTAATTTAGACTTTAGAGGAATAAATTAGGGTATTCTTGTGTTGAATATTATTGTCTTCTTTATATTGAAAGTTATTTTTACAATTATGTTTTTGTAAATAAACAATGAAATGTATGATTTTATAGTCTGCTCATATTTGAAACTGAGTATTTATCGAGTTTCTTTTTACTTATTGTATTTTATATGTCTGTACTGCTTGTGTACATGTATGAAATGCGTTATACAAATAAAGATAAGGACTGGATGCTGCTTGAATTGTGCAAATAGAAAGTCTGTTTGATTTTACCTTGGTGATGAGGTGTGGGTAGAGACACAGCGCCCTCTTGAGGACAGACTCCAGGTGGTCATTGGGCCGCAGCTTGACTTCTTTGGGGTCCGGTTCTTCTTCCACAAAGTGAAGCAGAGACTCCACCTCCCTCCGAGTGAAGGTCAAGACCGGGTTGAGATCGTCAACGACACGATCTGAAGGACAGAGGGAGAAGAGGAGATGGGTCAAACACACTGATACTGAAATGTTTACTAGTGGTTTGTGACTAGATCAAATTCTGTTCATATATGACAAGTTTAATATAGTGTTTTTTTCCAGAGTAACTCAAAGACGCTTCACGATAAAGTAACACAAAACAAGAACAGCACAGACAAAGCAGGTAGTGAGGAAGCTGTCACTAGTGGAGGTTATAGGCTATGAGTTTTGAGCTGTTTTTGTAAGTTGTTTAGTTAATCTTTCATTTATAATCTTTCATTTAAATTTGTATAATGTAAAAACATGTCCAAAGCGTGTTCAATACAAAAAAGCTTAAGATGTATCAATCAGAAAATGACTTAAAAGTAGTGAAATTATCTTGCTGCATGGACAGATAATGAATGAATGAATGAATGAATGAACGTTGCATAGAAAACAAAAAAGCATAGATATAATCCAAAAATATAACAATAAAAAAATCTAACAATAAACAAATAAAAACAATAAACAAAATAAAAAACAAAAAATTATAAAAAAAAAAATAAAAAACGTAACAATGAACAAAAATAAATGTCACGCAGTGTGTCTGAAAAAGAGTGGGAGGAGATCATTTTACTTGACAAGTTATCTTAAAATAAACTACCTCTAGACTAGAATTGAGCCGTCTCTCAACTAGTAAGTGGATAATAAATCTGAAAACAAGATGAATAAGCTGATACAAGTCTTAAAATCTTGGCCAGATCAGAGAAATGTGTAGTCCTCAAAATTCAATTCAAAATTTTAATCAAAAACGATTCACAAAAATAAGACCACACAGTGAGTTAAACGTGAGTTATACGTTATATGTGAGTTATAAATATTGAAATCAAGTTTAAAACGTTTGTATGGTGACAGCTATAGACTGTAGTTGCCGTATTCTAAATAGGAAGTGAGCATGGGGGCGCTTCCGGCTCCATCGACTCTGGCACCAATTGATTTTGTACTGAAACCCTCTCTCTCTGTAACTGCTCATTTTGGTCTTAAAATGTTCGTATTAACCTGCTCTACATGACAGTGTTTTTTTTATTTCGCCGTTTTGCCTGTTGTGACTGCAAGCATCGTGAGCTACACTTGACACGAACCAAAAACTATGGCTGACGTCTTCATAAGCGAGTTTCAGCTGACGTCATTGTTATTAAAAGCCCGCGAAATATTTTGGTCGGAGGCAAGAAACACGATAGCGTCAAACACAGTGCGTAACCTCGCGTATTTATCCCCGATAATGGTAAATTCCTGCTGCATTATCGGATGCACAATAGAAGCACGGAAGAAGGAAAATGTCTTTTTCATATTCTGAGTGAAAAGAACCGCTGACGGTGAATTAAACGGCTTTCAAACATCCGCAGAGCAAACATAGAAGATCCTAACAAACCGTGGACTCCAACAAGTTCAACAACACATCCAGACTCTTGGAGGTTTTCATCTTTTCTGCTGTGAATGGCCCAGGAGTTTCCACCAAGTCATTGTGGATATCGCCAAAGTGAATATTTGTCCAGGTAGTTGGTGATTCTGGCCAGAAATTTGGTTTGGTCCACCTTTTGTCGGGGTTGAAAAAGGTGATTTGGCTCCGTCGATGCTTATGACCAATTTCTGGTCAAATGGTCTTGGGTCCTCTGCCGTTAGACTGGATAAATAACCGGGATCAATACCCTTTACGTGCTTTCTCGCTCCGTCCGTCATGTTGAATTAGTGTTTCTTGCCGCCGACCAAAATAATTCCCAGCATGCAACGCGCGCTTTTGTCAACAACGAAACTCTACTCACCAGACATGCCCTGCTTGGAGATCTGCCGGTCGTAGATCTTCTTCTCCAGGGTGAAGTCGCACACCAGTCTGTAGATGTGGCAGTGCTTCTTCTGGCCGTAGCGGTAAACTCTGCACACGGCCTGGGCGTCGTGGCACGGGTTCCAGGAGGCGTCGAAAACCACCACGCGATTCGCCCCGATCAGGTTCACCCCCAAGCAACCAGCTCTAAAACACACAGAAGGACACGTGGAGAGTTAGTTATTATTACAAGTAAAATGTGTGAAAAAGAAGCCTGCATGATCTTGTTGTACTCGGAAGACTCTATATTGTGCTACTTTCTGATCTATTTTAATTTTCTTTAAGTTTCCTCATCACAAACAGACCTGGAGTTGTGTTTTGTTTCATTCACACATGTTTAACACACAGGCACAAAGGTAAAAAGTAGCTGTTAACTTGAAAACTATTAAGATTTAGACTAATAATAAAGAGATGAAACAAAACACAACTCCGGGTATGTTTTTGAGGGGGCAACAAGAGTCAGTTTTGCGCAGTATTATTGTATAATCATTGCTGGACAGGTAAAGTTTAAATGCTGATATCAGAAAGAAAAATAGGGGATTGTTGCATTTTTAATAGCAGGATAAAATAATGCAGTCAAATTTGAGTTTAAAAAATTGTATATCTGTACAATAAACACATTTCTGTATCATTAGTTGTAGTTTTCGTCACCTGGTGGAGAGGAGGAAGACCCAGGCAGACGTGTTTGCGGGGTCATTGAACTGGTTTATGAGACGCTCTCTCTCTGAGGCTGTCGTGCTACCATCCAGTCCTGAAAAAAAAGGACAAAAACAAAACTTTATTGATCCAAAAGAGACATTATTTAGACATAATCGCTCACACATCACAATATATTATAATAACAAAGCACAAAGAACTACATGTGGTAATGAAAAACTCAAAATAAGTAGCAAAAATAACAAGAGAGATGTTAAATAAGACGCATAAATCGTCAACGACCCATTTTTCTTGCTCTTAATTTTATTATATATAGAGATAAATCTATGCTTTTATTTACATTAAAAATAAGAATGTCATACTGGAACAAGTCAGTGAACAATGCAGTTTCCAAAAATCAACAGCAGGTGGCAGCAAAACAAGGCAAAATACAACCACAGTAGAAAGAATAATACATTCTTTATATTCAACTTCTAATATACTTACCACTTCTGTACTTATATCTATATCTAAATATTTAAGAATTAACAAGCCTGTTTACAAAATGTTATTAATAATTATAAAGATCAGGAGGAAAATGTCTGGACTCACTGTAGTAGTTGAGGTTTCGGACCCAGTTCTGGTTTGATTTGTCTTTGTTGGAGTTTGGTGAAGGAGGAACCGGGCGCTTTGCCAGAAACTCCTCAATGACAGTCAGTGTGGACAGACTCTGACTGTGGATAAAAAGAACACATAAAATCAGACGGATGAACAGGGTGTACCAAAACAAACATACGAATCATTAAAGGGCCCATATTATGACATTTTCTGATCACTGTTATGTTTTGTCCTCATCAGAAACATAGTTGGAGTTGTGTCTTGTTTCATTCACGCACGTTTAACACACGAACCCTGCGTATTTAGAAACAGAAAACACTAATTGTGACGCCATGTAGTGGTAGTTTTCCAAGTTAACAGCTACCTTTTACATTTAGTTCAGTAGAGATTGTCATTCCCAGGGTTAAAATAATCCAAATCATTCCAGTGAAAGTGAATGGAGTTAAAAAATAAACAAAAAAAACAGAAGCGCTTTCTATTTTACCACAGGGCATTTTGAGGTTTGGAGATGTAGACAGACTAATAATACAGGATTACACATGTAAGAATGAAACAAAAACACAACTCCGGGTCTGTTTTTGCGGAGATAACATTATAACACGGCTTAAGGCTCACAAGAATCAATTTTGTGTAACGTAGGACCTTTAATATGCGCAAATAGGAATGTCAAGATATCAAATTTTAGTATTACGATAATTGATTGATTATCAGAGGTGGGGATTTATTTTTAGGACTTGAGACTTGTCTTGATAAAATAGACTCTACTTGGGTCTCGACTTGGACTTGAAGGTCGGTGACTTGGGATTTAACTCGGACTCGAGAAGCACTTTTAAATCTGAATTCTTTCTATTCTGACCATAATGATTCACACTAAGATCTAAAATATTATAATAACTAAATACTCATATACAAATATTCTGTGATTTTCTAAGTGCAAGTTAACTTAAAAGTCATATAAATTGCAAAACTCTTTAAAGATTTGAAATTACTTGAAGCTCAAAGCAGACGACTTGGACTTGACTTGGATTTATGGGTCACTGACTCGAGACTGGACTTGGACTTGCCTGTATTTGACTTGGGACTTGCAAAACAAAGACTTGGTCCCACCTCTGTTGAAACCATGACCAAACAGCTGGGAAACGCTTAATTTGTTCATATTTTTTGCTCCTAACGATTAAATTGTGACTTGAATTATCATGTTTATCGATTAACTAGATGATCTTGACACACCTATGTAGAACCACGGTTTTTTAAGTGTTCGTGGATTAACATTTTGAAGAATTTTTCGTATTCAAAAGACGCAATATCATGTTGAAACCCATGGATAATTGTCCTACCTGAAAACCAGCAGCTTGTCTCCCTTTCTCACGCTCTCCTCGATCATATGAAACAGCAAAACCATTTTAGCAGAATTCTCCAGGACGCCGGGTTTATAGTCATTCATAATTTCTTTCGCCTGAGAAAAAAATAAAGTAAAATCAGTTAACGGAGGCACGTTATATTTGCAACTGAGTGAATAATTTAAGACAGTACGTACCCATTCGTAAGTGATGACCTGATTGGCCTTCTCCTGCATCTGGCTCAGACTCAGTCCACCAATGGGGTTTGGCGTCTCCAGCGGTTTGGGCTTCTGATTGGCCGTGGTGTGGCAACGGGAGGAAGTGATGTCGTCCAGGTCCAGGTCCTGCTCGCTGGCCAGGTTTTCCTTCTGCAGAGCCTCGTACAGCACGTCTGGGTGGTTCCAAATCTGAGAAGAAAAATGACAAGATGAAACCAGAGAAGGAAGTTTATATATTGTCAACATGAATATACCAAAATATATACCGTATTTTTCGGACTATAAGTTGCACTTTTTTCATGGTTTGGGTGGTCCTGCGACTTATATATTAAAATTTTTAGACTCACAGCCACAAGAGGGCGCTCTAAGCTTGTGTGTCAGTATCTGCTTCCCTATTACTTCTGTACTGCTGTCTTTTCACTCTACTGCGCATGTCTCCTGCAGAAAAAGCCACTGTCCTGCTACAAGTAGTGAAATATGCAACCAAAAACGGTAATCGAGCAGCAAAAAGAAAGTTTGGAGTGAGTGAGAAACTTGTGAGGGACTGGCGGAAAGCGGGGATGGAGGGAAGGTGGAGGGTGCACCATTCAACTTTCCTGGAAGTCATTGGATGGATTGGCAAAGCCTGGACTTCAGTGACACTGAAACCATCTCGTCGGGATTCAGAAAGACCCGAATAATTCTAACTGGAACTGATGCTGAGTCTGACCACAGCTACACAGAAGAGGAAGTGGCGCTCTGTTTACATCATGGATCTATGGTTTACATCAGGAGATGCTCAGAAGTGACACCGAGGATGAAGAATTCAATGGATTCTGTGATTTGGACTGAGATCGTGAGTTTGGTAAACTTATGTTCTGTTATTTATGTTATCATTATCTGAAGAACTGTTCATATGTGACGTTAACAGTCTGTTGTTCTCTGTTCTATTGTTATTACTATAATTTGCCTTTCAAGATGAAACGTCGATTCCTGGTCTGATTTTATAAAATAATCTTCCCCCAAAAAGTGCGACTTATATATGTTTTTTTAAATTCATTATACATTTTTTGACTGATGCAACTTGTACTCAGGAGCGACTTATAGTCCAAAAAATATGGTACTAATTATTGTTTTATGTTGATATTGGAGGATTTGCCAAAAAGGACTATTTAGATCAGTTAAAATAGCTCTTAAATTGAGCTGCCTGCAGGAGGGTTTTAACTTTCTCTTTCCATGAACGGTTTTAACGTTCTGTTTCCATGGAATCATGCAGGTGATGTGCCACCTCCAGAAAGTTACATATTATACCTTTAATTACAACTTAATGACAGTTAAAAAGATAAATAGCCTGAATCATTCTTAATAAACTACTTGAGTTTTCCTTCACGATTTATTAAGGTTAATTAAGGTGTAGTTAAGTGGTGCCATTGCATGCAAAGGTCTGTGCCAATCCAAGCTAAATGAAGTCGAAATAAGTGAACTTTTCTAAGTCAAATACGTAAATAAATCTAACAAGACGAATATTATGAGTTCAAGTAATTCAAACCCAAAGTGGATAAACATCAATTAAGATCTGCTCGGTCTAAGTTCTCTATAACCGAGCCCAGACCTCCTCCTCCTCCTCCTCCTCCTCCTCACCTTGCAGCACACACAGAAGGCTTTGAGAGGGTTCAGACTGAGCCAGCCTGTGTTCCCCGCCTCTCGGAATCTGTTCATGAACTCAGTGTAGAGCGCCCTCTGCAGGGGAGACAGGCGCACCAGGATCACGTGCTCCTCCTTAGACGGGAGCTGCTCTTTCAGGACGTCATGACCCCGTCTGTGGAAATACACAACAAAAAAACATATTTAATAATGTACTTGGAACATACAACCAACATGCCACTGCTCAATGACTTTTATTTTATTTTATTAGAGTCCATTATGTTTGTTATTCACGGTTTTATGTTGCAATAAAACGCTGAAGCAAGTTCCTACAGCCTAGACATCAGTTTTTCGTATGTTTTTATTATCACAGTATCGAAATCGAGCTTTATTATTTTATTTTTTTATTATTATTTGTTTATTTATTTCATTCATAAAGTAAAAAAAAAAGACATCAACAGTGTCACAACATCAAACATACAAGAAATGAATGAAAAGGAGCAGAAAGAAGAGTCATCTTTTATCTGCCGCCTTTTCTCTTTTACAGACAAAACATCAACACCGACAGTTACTTTAAAACATTTCAGATCAGTAAATTTCTGTTCAGGCACAATTATTAATCAATTGCAAACAGAAATCTTCACTATTATGCGCAACAATTTCATTTTCTTTTTCATACATACATATTGCTTGAGATTTTATGTGTTTTTTAAATGTGTAAATGAGTTGAAAATGTTGTAGTCAGAGGGCGGTCCTGAGAGCACGTTCAGTGTTCAGCAGCAGCGCCCTCTGGTGGTCAGGAGAGATGAAACAGAACAGAAAATAGTAGGTCACTTTCACTCACCGCTGGACGAATCCCTCCAGGAGACTGTGCAGCACGTGGCTCCTGTACCTCATGAGCTGGAGGTCCTGAGGCGTGCTGTCCACACACTGTCCGTTCAGAATGGGCCTCTCGAACATGTTACTGAACTCCTGACGCGTACCTAAACGAACACATAAGAAACAACAACATTTAACAAAGCTGCGATTTTTGTGGTGCCGTAATTTCCTTCACAAACAACAAAAATATGTCTAATTCTGTACAAACATGTTTAAAAACACAGTGGATGTTTTCTGTTTGAGCAAAGCCTAAGCCTTAGCCTAAATACGCAGGGTTTTGGCGCCACCTAGTGCCTCCGCTCAATTTCATTTCTCTCCAGCGACTAGGTCAGGAATCGGAATACACTAGAGCAGGGGTCTCAAACTCAAATTACCTGGGGGCCACGTTAGATAAAGTCCGAGTGAGGCTGGGCTGCACTGAGTATTAGATTAATAGCGGTTGCACGAAAATAAACGCCGTATGTGCACGTGTACTCGTATTAACAGATCCACTTAAACTCGTTGCTTCAAGTTGAGTTTTGGGATGTAAGATGTGTTAATAATCTGTTGTTGTGAATCTGTATGGGCAAAGATTGCAGCTTCATCTGTCAGTGCGGCCCGCGGTCGGGGGGTGGGATTGTGCGTAGCTACATCTACCGCGGGCCGCACTGACATTATTCTTTGGAATTAAGTGGAGGGCCGCAAAAAATCCTTCCGAGGGCCGCAGTTGGCCCCCGAGCCGCGAGTCTGAGATCCCTGCACTAGAGGTTTCGCAAAAACCCCGGAATTGCGAGTTTGGGCACCAGCCAATCAGCAAAAAGCCATACATTCTGTGTTGGCAACAATTCCCGAGATCGAGGATTTAAAGCCGGAACAAAGAGAATGTTTGGTTAATTTTGTCAAGGGGAAAGACGTTATTGTCCTTCTTCCTACGGGATTTGGGAAAAACTTAATATACCAGTTAGCCCCGTTAGCGGCGCATTACATACATCACGACCAAATAGCAGCGATTCGTTAAATGAAAAGTACCCGTCTACTGTCGAGTGAATGAATCCTAATGCTGGAGGTCAGACGGTTTCTACGAAGTGAAACCGTCTGATGAATTAGGCTAGGGTTTGTGAGTGAATGAAACAAAACACAACTCTGGGCATGTATTTGATGCGGATTATGACATACAGTAGATCAGAAAATAGAGTAACACGGGTCCCTTTAAACAAGGTACCATCGTTGAGTTCATACCTAGAAAGTCTGGTCGTACAAAGTCCACCATGCACCAGTACTCGATGAGGTTGTTCTGGAGGGGGTACCCGGTCAGGACCACTCTCCGGCGGGTGCGGATGTTCTTCAGGGCCTGGGAGGTGCTGGCGTGGCAGTTCTTGATGCGGTGGCCCTCGTCGCAGATCACCACATCAGGACCGGGGCGAGCGAGAGCCTTCTCTATACCTGCGGACCAATCAGATCAATCCAGTTAAAATACACCTCGTTTTTCTCACGGTAACTCCTTTTGTGTTGTGGAAACGGGGTTAAAGGTGAACTGTGTAATAGGGGTGTAGCGATATCCAAATCTCATGATACAATATTTGCGATTTTTTCTCCTTAAAATGCCTTGACAAGACTTAATCCAAAGAACTAAGACTTAAAAGTGCTTAGAACTGTTTTTTCTTCTTGTAGTCTGCACTGAAATGGCGCAAAGGATCATGGTCTATGTAGTTCTGTCTTTGTTTAGCCATTTCTGCAATATAACTCTTAATTTAAGCAAAGAGACTTGTAATTCGATATATTGTGATGGTCCACGATATTATTGTGAGAACTTTGACCATACGATATCTCGATATTTCGGTTATTCTTACATCCCTACTGTGTAACCTTTCTGCTATCTGCTTGTCTCCATGGTGATGTTCCACGGTATGGCATTCATTATTACCTTCGCCAAGGAGGTTATGTTTTTGCCGGCGTTTGTCTGTTTGTTTGTTTGTTTGTCTTTTTAGCAACATAACTCAAAAAGTTATGGACCGATTTTGATGAAATTTTCAGGATTTGTTGGAAATGTGAAAAGGAAGAACTGATTTCATTTTGGGGGTGATCCGGAAGAAATCCTGGATTCTGGATCACTTTGAAATTTTAGTTAACATTGTGGTAAATGGGACCAAAAATTTAGTTTCTCAATATCTCGGTTAATTATTGACCAAACCCCATGAAATTTGACTCAGGGATGGACAGTGGGATCCTCTTTCATATTCCAAAGGCTGATCCGGATCTGATCCAGAAGACTGATTTTATCGCAATTTATATAAAAAATGGGGGTAGTCCTTGGCGGAGGTCTGCGCTCTCTGACTGCTTTTCTAGTTTTGAATTTATTATAATAATTTATATTTTTGCTCTTTGTTATTATAAAACATTGTGATGTGTGAGCTTCTGTGTCCAAATAATTTCCCTTGTGGATCAGTAAAGTTTGTCTAAGTCTAAGACTAAATAAAAATTATATGTGTTTTTATTTCTCAAAACTACTGCTATTCATTTATTACTGTGAGCAGGTCCACTTTTCCACAGATCTGACCTGTAACTTGGCCTGGAGATAGTTAAATTAAATGCCATACTGTAGAACATTTCAGGAGTCAAGTGGTGGACCCGTGATCAGAAAAGTTACACAACGCACCTTTAATATAATCCCTTTGTGTGTCGTGCAAAAACACCAACAATTTAAAAATCTGTTTTTCATCTCATGTTTTAGTGACTCATAACGCTGCGTTCCAGGCGCTTGGGAAATCGGTTATGTAACTCTCTTTTTTAAATAACAGAAAATTGTCGGATTTAACCTGTAACAAATGTCCAGATCATATTTACTTGAGGCGATTTCCATTTTTGCAAAGCTTCACAGTTGATTTCATATGTGAAGTCGGTGTCCTCTGACCATCTTCCAGTTTACAAATAGGAATTACCAGTTTGTTTTTGTGGTTTTCCAGGTTATTTTTCCAGGTCAGAGTTCGGAGTTAACACAGTTTCCAGTTGTCTGAGATGTACCATTATGTTCATGGGTTTAAATTTCTTGTTTATAGGACTATATTTTGAGGATTAAAAAAACAAAAACACATTCAAAAGTACAGTAAGTATATTGAGTTTTGTTTTGTTAATCGCTATGGCAACAATACTATTTTTTTTTTTGTATCCGTCTGACACCCAGTGTTGGGGAGTAACAGATTACATGTACCAGAGTTATGTAATCAGAGTACAACTTATGAGTAACTGTATTCAGTTACAGTTACTGTTTCAGTGAGTGGTAATTGGATTACAGTTACTTTGTTGAAATAAATGGATTACACAGGAGATTTTCCTGTTTTAAACCATTTAACCCCCACTCATTGCCAGACTAAAACCAGGTCTAAATCAGGTCTAAACCAGGTCTAAACCCAGGTCTAAACCAGGTCTAAAACCAAGTCTAAAACCAGGTCTAAACCAGGTCTAAACCAGGTCTAAACCCAGGTCTAAAACCAAGTCTAAAACCAAGTCTAAAACAGGTCTAAAACCAGGTCTAAACCAGGTCTAAAACCAAGTCTAAAACCAGGTCTAAAGCCAAGTCTAAAACCAAGTCTAAATCAGGTCTAAACCGGGTCTAAAACCAGGTCTAAAACCAGGTCTAAAACCAAGTCTAAAACCAGGTCTAAACCAGGTCTAAACCAGGTCTAAACCCAGGTCTAAAACCAAGTCTAAAACCAAGTCTAAAACCAGGTCTAAACCAGGTCTAAACCAGGTCTAAAACCCAAGGTCTAAAACCAAGGTCTAAACCAAAACAGTCTAAAACCAGGTCTAAACCAGGTCTAAACCAGGTCTAAACCAGGTCTAAAGCCAAGTCTAAAACCAAGTCTAAATCAGGTCTAAACCGGGTCTAAAACCAGGTCTAAACCAGGTCTAAAACCAGGTCTAAAACCAGGTCTAAAACCAGGTCTAAACCAGGTCTAAAACCAAGTCTAAATCAGGTCTAAAACCGGTCTAAAACCAGGTCTAAAACCAGTCTAAAACCAGGTTTAAACCAGGTAAACGGTCTAAACCGGGTCTAACTGGGTCTAAACTGGGTCTAAACTGGGTCTAAACTGGGTCTAAACTGGGTCTAAACTGGGTCTAAACTATGTCTCAAACAGGATTTAACAGGACTAAATCATGCTGTGAGGACCGTGTCTCCTCTTCTTCTATCAATAATATTTTTAATATTGTTCAGTAAAGTCTGGGCTTTTTATTTTCTTTTAGCAGATAAAACTTCTTATGTTACGATTTCCTCGTCTTTGCTTCTCTTCAACAAATCAAGTAATCCAAAGTATTCAGATTACATTACTCACTTTAAGTAATTTAATGGATTACGTTACAAACTACATTTTGGTGTATGTAATCTGTAATCTGTAGGGGATTACATTTTAAAAGTCACCTTCCCAACACTGCTGACAGCGACTGATATCCCGCCCCTTGACAAAGTTTGTTGTCGAGTTGTTCACGTTACATAACAACTTTGCACCATCACACTCCAGTGATAATCTAATCTTTAGCCACAGCTGCCTCCGGGCCAACTGACAAAATTGAGTTTGCACCAATCTGCAGGTTTTAGAAGGATGGAAAATTAGGACCGTCGTCATAGCGATTAACCATTTCAAACTAAATATAGCTTGTGAAAATGGTAATGAAGGGCAGAAAGTCGTCGAAGTGTTGCAAATAAACGGATTTTGCCATCAAAATCCAAAAAATCTAAAACTTTAAACAATTTTTCAAGTTTGAATAGTTGAAAATACTATCAGCCTACTTTATTTTATGTTTTTTTTCCTAGTAGTACTACTACTTACTACTACTATTACTACTATTACTGCTACCAACTACTACTGCTACTACTGACGACTAGTACTAAAAACAACCACTACTACTACTACTACCACTACCACTACCACTACCACTACTACTAAAAATTACAACAACAACTACTACTACTACTACTACTACTACTACTACTACTACTACTACTACTACTACTATTACTACTACTACTATTACTACTACTACTACTACTATTACTACTACTACTACTACTACTACTACTACTATTACTATTACTACTACTACTACAACTAAAACAACAACAACTAAAACAACTACTACTACTACTACTACTACTACTACTACTACTACTACTACTACTACTACTACTACTACTACTACTACAACAACTAAAACAACAACTACAACTACTACTACTACTACTACTACTATTACTACTACTACTACTACTACTACTACTACTACTACTACAACAACTAAAACAACAACTACAACTACTACTACTACTACTACTACTACTACTACTACTACTACTACTACTACTACTACTACTAAGCAATATTACCAAATACTACTAGTACCACCAACTGATACAACTAACAACTATTAAAAACTACTACTACGACTACTACTACCTACTACCACTATTACTACTACTACTACTAACACCTACTTCTACTACCAACAACTACTACCAACTACTACCACTAACTACTACTACCAACTATTACTACTACACTACTAGTACCACTACCGCTGCCAACTCCTACTCCTACTAGCACCTACTTCTACTACCACTAGGACCAACTACTACTACTACTACTACTACTAGTACCACATACCTTTGAGCAGCTCTTGTTGTCTGTCCTCCTCGTCCACGTCGACCGCGGACCCGGAGGAGCTGGTCGGGTTCTTCTTGTTCTTCTTCTTGCGTCCGGCCACAAAGCTCTTCTTGAGGGAGAGCAGACGGTACATCTCATACCCCATCAGTAACACGCCGCCGTCGCTGTACCAGTCCTCCACCACCTTCGCTCGGCTCGTGGTGTTCCTGACAAATCAAATCAGCAAGAGATATTTGCAACTTAAAGGTCCCAGATTACACAAAATTGTCTCCTGTGAGCTTTAAGTCGTGTTATTAAGCTGTTACCTGCTCAAAAACAGATCTACATTCTACAGTCTACATCTCCAAAGCTCAAAATGTTCCAACTTGTGATGTCATGAAGCTGCAATTTTCGAGTTAACAGCCACTTTTTACATTATTTTTCAGTCAAGATTGGCGATAGAGGTCTGCGAGGGACAGAATTTTCAGTCCACATCTGCAAAGAATTGTAATTTTCATTCCCACTCCTGCCCGCAAATCCTGCAAGATGGGGACTAGGGATGGGCATTCGATTAAATTTTCTTAATCGATCGTCGGAAGAATTAACGATCGATTATCGATTAATCATTAACGTGTTTATATTAAAATGATCATCATTATTATTACTATCTGCACTACTAACCTGCATACATAAATTCAACTTTACGACATATAAACCGTAACGACTCTAGAGCCACATCAGCCCGTTTGACATTATAATGTGTTTAACGCAGTTTTGCGCAACTCTCACAGAAACAAAACTTAAAACCGCATCGCTAATTTGCAGAAACTAAGCGAAGATAAAACTACAGCTCTTGTGTCGCTGATGCGGTTCAACTTCTGTTGGATTAAAAGACATGATTCAGGTGAATACAGGTTAGTGTGACCATATCTGCGTTTGTCAAAACCAGGACACCGTACGGGGGGAGGGAGGTGAGGACTCGTCATCCACATTGAGCGACTCTCACCTGGTAAAACTTTTTCCCACTGGACACCAAAACATATGTGCTGCTTTATACACTGTGCACATGGACTCACACTTGTCCCGAACGCAACGGAAAGCGTGGAATTTCTTGTACAAATCATCGTTAAATACACATTTGTGCTTCTGTACGTTGCAGACTGACCGACTGTTTGTGTCTCGCTCCTTCTGAGTGCAAAGAGCTACATGTACAGACCCGTTTGGTCACTTTACGCTACACACAGCAACCTACATTCGGTTTGTCGATTAAAATGAACGTAATCGATGAAATTCTTAATGATCAATTATCGATTAATCGATTAATCATGCCCATCCCTAATGGGGACATTCGCTTTCTTAAGCTCTATCAAACACGGAAAAGCGGAAAGGAATTGTCTAAATTGTGCTTTGTGATTTGACCACGTCCGCAAGTTTACGCTGCTTAAAATGTTTTTGTTACCGTATTTTCAGAACTATAGGGCGCTCTGGATTATAAGGCGCGCTGTTGCACATTGAATGGTCTATTTTCTAACTTTTTTCACAAATAAACCGCACCGGACTTTAAACGAAACACAACAGTTAGATGGGTCAGTGGGACTTTGTTTGGCGCGTTCACGGTGACTCTCGGCTTTGTTCAATTGTCGGAGTGTTCGCAGTGACTCAGTTGTGTCTAGAAGTGGCACATTGCACTCGCTTTTTCGGTTCGTTCCTCGTCCGCGTGGAGTGATGAGTGTGGCTGCGGGTGTTTTTTGCTGTCTGCTCCGAGTGTGTTTGCGTGCGCTGCGGGTGCTGCGGCTTTGTAGTTTACCGAAGTCGCGCTGGGACACCCGAGCGGATTCGTGTATGGGACGCTCTGGATTGTGGGACGCGCGGCCGTTTTTTTTATAGGGCTGGAGGCTTATGAGTGCGCCCTATAGTCCGGAAAATACGGTAATGCCAAATAAAATATCCAGCACAAATGATGTATAATAAGCAAACATTAATCATTTGTATATTTTACTTTACACTGTATTTAGTTTTTGGGACTGTAGTTTATCATCCTTCCTGCCCGCGCCTGCAATGAGCTTTCAAAACGTGTCCCACACCGCATTGTTTTGCGTTTGTGCAGGGCTCTGTAAGAAAATTTAAATAATTTATGTTCCACGTACATCTCAGATAACATTGACTCACAAAAGCTATATTTACACCATGATATGTACGTGGAAGATAAATTATTTAAATTCTCTTACAGGCTCTAATTGGCAATTCCAGGGCTGAAATTTTCCAAATGATTCTAGTGAAAGTGCAAGCAGGTGGAGCACTTCCTGTATTATATCATAACATCACAAGGTGGAACAGAGTGTTTTCAGTTTAAAAGAAGTTACTCTTACTTCAGTACAATTTTTGGCTACTCTATCCCACTCAAAATAAGAATACATGTTTTCCAATTTGAGTAAATGCAAGTTATGTAAGTTTAATGCCATATTGTTGAACATTTTAAATAACCACCACCACACGATTTTACATGTTTTAAGTATTTTGTGATTTCTTTGTGACTTACATGTGATTAAAAAGGTGATGAGTGAATGAGATGTACGACAATTTTATAGATTATAATTAGCTACAACCGCAAAAACATTTCAAACCTACTCCATCCAAGGAGAGGAGTAATAAGGATAGAACCGTATTTAACCATCCCAGCGAAGCAGAACGAATGTGCGCTTTTATAACAAACATCAGTGGATTAAAGACTATTATTTAGAAAGTTCTAGAGAAGACA